AGAAGCAGATAAAGGATGTTTGTTGGAAAAGTAGAGAATGTTTGATCGAAAGTCACTTTACTGCTTACCATATGATTATCTTTTCTAGGAACTTTATAGTAGAGTTTTGGAATTAATGAAGAACCATTAGATTGCGCTCCTGGATGGTTTAGGAACCGATCCCTTTTAGTGTGAGTTGATTTATCCAGCAAACAATAAAGTTGAAATGTTTACTGGTTTATTTCTCATTTAAAGGAGTCTGGGGAGGTGGTATAGTGGTTTAGTCATTTTCTCTACAGAGTAGTGGTTAGACCAATTTTGTTGCAAGGGGCAGAGTGTTGACCAGTCAAGAACTCCTATGTTCAGAAGATGCAAGTTGCAGAAATGAGTATGCTAAGATGGATATGTGGGCATACTAGGAACGATGAAATTAGGAATGAAGATATCTAGGACAAGATGGAAGTGGCCTCCGTGGTGGACAAGATGAGGGAAGCAAGGTTGAGATGGTTTGGGCGTGTGAGGAGGAGATATGTAGATACCTCAGTGAGGAGGTGCGAGAGGTTGGATATATTGGGTATGAGGAGAAGTAGTGGCAGGCTGGAAAAAGTATTGAGGAGAGATTAGACAAGACATGGCGCAACTTCAGTTTATCGAGTACATGAGTGACATGACCTTAGAAGGGTGTGGAGGTTATGGATTAGGGTAGAAGGTTAGTAGGTAGTGGAGTGTTGTCTGATGTAGTATTAGCCTTATTCTTGTAGTGTATTGCTTTTGATTTCTATCATCATTTGTTTATTGTTTATTGTGTTTCGGTTATCGCATTATTTTGTTGTCTAATTCCTTATTAGTTGCTATGTTTTCTTCATTGTTGTTTTTTCCTTTTTCATACCTACCTTGTTTTGTTGTACTCGAGTTGAGGGTCTTCCAGAAACAACCTCTCTATCTCCACGAGGTAGGGATATGGTTTGCATACACTCTACCCTCCTCAGGCCCCATTGTGAGATCTCATTGAGTATGTTGTATAATTATCAAGTTCACTCGAGTGATTGTTTCTATGTTATTTCAAGTAGGTACAGATCTGTAGCTCTTCAATTACCTTTCTGGCTCGTCTCATTACAAATACAAACTTCATTTTCTGTTTGCAGGCTAAAGAAAGCTATACCTTTACTAAAGATATTACAACCTAAACATGTGCTGGTAGGCTCTCTCTTCTGCTCTAAGAAACTGAACTGTTCAATATATTTCTATAACTACTGCCTCTCTTGCTCTTTTCAGGTCCCTGAGAGTTTGAGGCCCCATATTAGCTGTTGGAACCCCAAATTTTCGGTCCATAGTTTCTCCGAAAATGAAACTGTAGTTGTGCCCAAGTTGAAAACATTTGCAGATATGGACATTGCCATGGATATGGCTTCTGAGCTGCTCATTGATACAAAAATGATACAGGGAAAAAATATTGCAAGATTAAAGGGAGAGTTGCTCATTGAGCAGGGAAAGTATCGGTGTGTTCTTAGAAACAAGCAAGTGCTTTCTTCACAAGTTAGGCCATTGCTATTTCTGGGTAGAGTTGACTTGGACTCCCTTCTGATGGCTTTAAAGAAGATGGGTATGAAAGTAGCTGCACAGCATGCCCAGAGTACTGATGGATCAGAAAATGTATCACTTATATTCATCTCGGAGCCCAATGAAGCCTTGATAGAGGTTACATCAACTCAAACCACGATAAGCGTTGGTGATGAGACTACTGCTTCCCTGGTTTCTGAGGCTGTTCGTAGCACTTTAGTTTGTTTCTGATAAAAGATGGCCCTTGTATATACCTAGATGCCAATGGTTTAAGAAGATTTTGACTAATTTTCAGCTTCGAGGAGAAAACAGTTCTTTTAACTGGGAATGGAGGTTGGGAGTTGTAACGAAGGGCAGTCTTGCAGCGTCTTTTTCCCCAGTCAAGCACTGGTCACTGCCCTGTTGATAGATACTGGAACAAAGAGAGTGCATGCATATTCTCTAATATTTGTACTATTGTTTTGGTGATACCTGTATCTCTTCGCGCCAAAAAAGAAGATTTTCTTAGAAAATGGATTTCTCGTTACCAAAGTTCTCGAATGAAAATCAAAGACAGATTTGGGAAAACATAGATAAATGTGTCTTCCAATGAGGTTCTTAAATTTTTCCAGAAATGCCAATGAAACAGTTGAGATTGGAGCGATTGTCATGATAGTTCACATAAATTAAGTCTAAGTTTGACTAACCTAGTTCCAAAATGGTTTTAAATGATAAATCACACCTATCTATCTACTGTTTTATATGACATTACATTCGAAAGTTAAAAAACATTATTCTCAATTTACGATACCATACACGGGTAAATATGATCGTTTTATAGAAGTAGTGATTTGCGAAATCAAGAGGAGATATGCACTATATAGAGTTGTTCCTCTGCAAAGACTATACCCAAATAAAACCAGTCTCTCATCCTGGTTTGTTAAAAATTCAAATTCTTAACTTGAAAAAGATCCAAACTCTATAGCTTAACACAATTTGTAAATATATAAATTTATTATAAAAAATAATGTTCAAATTGAGATGAAAAACTAAATGACTTGACCATCGTATTTCAGAATACATATTAAGGTAAATAAATCAAACTAAATTGCACGTTCATGCTTTTAAAATGTTGAATTTAATAGCTTTTCACGATGTATATAATATTTTTTATAGCCATTATGAAAGCTCCTAAAGAAAAAGGGGGTCTTTGTGTAATGACCCTCCTGGTCATTTCTGCATCTTGCCTTCTATGTTTCGTTTAGAGTGTTCTTGTAGCGACCCCAAGCCATTTATGACTTGCTGGGACTGACAGTTCGGTCACCTGGTCGTTCGTTTGGTTATGGTGCGAATTTTAGTGTTTTGGAGCTTATGAACCTTGAACGATCATTTTCGATCAAAAGTTCAAGAAGACGACCTCAGAATAGAATTCTGACGGTTCCATCAGCTCTGGAATGGCCAAATTAGGCTAGTAGCATAGTTGGCACGAGTATTGAGGCCTTCGATGCGAGTTTGGATCATTAGGTGTTTTAACCTTTGAAATTTGGCCTAAGGTTGACTTTGATCAACATTCTTGGAAAACGCGCTCGGACGAAAACTCCATCAGCTCAATTAGCTCGGAAATGTTGAGTTTGGTTAAAATGACTTTTGGAATGGGACCCACTTTTTATCGAGATGACCTCTGATGGAAATTTTGACTGCGCCGTTGAGTCTGGAATGTCGAATTTAGTAGGGTAGCATATATGTTTTATTTTTATCGGGTACCGAACGAATTCCGAACACCCCGTCGGAGACTTTGAAGAATATTGCCAAAGCTGAGATCTGGTGCAACTCTTTAGCGACCAGAGTTTGGGCCTTTAACGGCCATCTTTTGGGTTTTTAGCGACCAGTTTCGCCCTTTATAAACCCCAACTTAGTTTTATTCCTCATTTTCTTTAAAGTGCGATAACTTGAGCTTTGGAGCTCCATTCTGGCGATTCAAAAGGCAAAGTTGTGAGATTTTTCGAGGACAACTCGTTGGTGAGCTCAGAATCTGATTTGGGGTCCCTGTTCGAGGTCCGAATTCAACAATTCCTGAGTCCATTTTGAGGGGATTTTCGAGGAGAGCATTGTGGTGTTGTTGGAATTTAATTTCTATAGACCATCCGTTTCTGAGTGGCAGCGTTTCGAGGCCGTTCAGAAAGGAAGAGCTCCGAATGAGTGATTTTGGGGCGCGCGTGATCGACCTATAGGTAGGCTACAACTTACTTCTCTTAGATTGAGCTTGAGAGTGTGAATGCATGTTGATTAGTTGGGATTTGGGGTTGGTAATTATTGAATCATGCATAGGTGTTTAGAAATCATGTTTCAGCCTCTTTCGAGAATTATCGGGTAACTGTGAGCATGCTATGTGTTACTAATTGACCCTCCTTGCTATGTGTAGTGCTTGAATGCTTGATTACTGTTTATCTGAAGCATGTTGGGCCTTAGTTTAGGTTTGACTAGGGCTTGCCTTAGAAATACATGATTCGAATTCGATAGGCGTTAGTTTTACCCCGATATCGCTCGGCCGGCTTAGATCTCTGTAGACTGGTGTAGTAGACTTGAGTCTGATAGTTTGGGTCTTACTTAGGTGATACACTTGCTCCGACGATAGCTATCCTTATTTTTCTCGATATTACAGCTTCACGAGTTACGTCAGCGACACTAGTTCTGCTTCGCGATTTGAATTTGATTTTTGATTCAGTTCCAAGGACTTATATTGATTGGCTAAGTGTGGACGGTGTTCCACAGACATTTATGAGCATGGATCGATTGAGACTTTTTCAGCAGTTATATTGGCACCTTTATAGAGCATCCGGTTTAAGGTCCGGCCTCTATCACCCAAATATTTATATAGAGCATCCGATTTAAGGTACGACCTCTATCGCTCAGATACTTATATAGAACATCCGGTTTAAGGTCCGACCTCTATCACTCAGATACTTATATAGAGCATCCGGTTTAAGGGCCGGCCTCTATCGCTCAGATACTTATACAAAGCATCCGGTTAAAGGTTCGGTCTCAGTTACTTGATACTTGGGTACTTTTGGTGAGCATCCGGTTCGAGGTCCGGCCTCCGTACTGTCAGATTCTACTAATTAGGGTTGAGGTTCTGGTTCGATGTTCTCCGCTTTTGGGTTCTCATATGCAGTTCTCTTTAGTTATAGTTATTTTGTGTACTCGTCGGGCTTATGGGGTCCGTTCGAGTTTTAATTAAACTTGCGCACGAGTACCTTCTGGCTTATGGGGGTCCAGTTAGGTGTAGTTAGTTATAGATTAATTTAGTTAGTTCTTTCTACACTCGTGTGCATTCCATTGTTACTTAGATTTCTGCTCTTAACCTTTGTTTGTGTTATTCCTTCTTTTCATATTGCCTTTACTTTTCAAGTTCAGTCGGCCTATGATGCCTACTGGGTACCTGCTGTTTTGGTACTCATGCTACATTCTGCATCTATTTCGTGATGCAAGTTCGAGCACCAGTGGCCAGCGTTGATCCAGTTTGGAGTAGTCTTATCCGGAGACGAGGGTGAGCACACGACGTTTTGTACTATTTCAGTCTCCATCTGTATATATAGACTTGTCTTTTACCTTTCGAGACAGTCCAGTCTCTGTGGTCCACTTTTGGGATTTGTACTCGTTTTGTCAGTAGCTCTGTACTAGTGACTTCCAGTTTCTATGAGGGATCTTTATTTGTATTTATGTTTTGGGTTGCTTCCGCCTGTGCATATTGTTATCTTAAATTTTGCCAACTCTTGTTTAGTTTCTGCCCTCAGACCCATTGTTGTTCCGGGTTGGCTTACCTACTGGTGAGTTATAGTAGGTGCCATCATGACTCGAGGAATCGGGTCGTGACACTTTGCTACTTGTCTCTGTGATACATCTTTCTTATACTTAAATCTCTCTATGACTCATAATTTTTGTATAACAAAGATGAAAATTGAAAAAATATACAATTTTAAGATTTCGGAGGAACGTTTTGTTTTAAGATAAAATGTTCTTGATAATATAGTGTATGTATCGAAATTATGAATGTTACCGAATGATCATATGTAAGGTTAATAAAATAGTTTAATCCCGTGCAAACCACATATAATTTAAGTAGTTTTTAAATAATAATGGATGGATTTAAATGCCACATATCTTTCATTTAAGGGCCCTTATATGTTTGGCTAACGTCAACTTCAAATTCGATAGGGAAAAGGGTTAAAAATGCCCTTAACGTATCCCAAATGGTTCAAAAATGCCCTCCTTCCACCTTTTGGTTTAAAAATGCCCTCAACGTTTTTTTAAGGTTTAAAATTGCCCTTTTTTAACAGCCGGCTGACATGGCAAATGTGACATGGATTTTCTTTACCCATTTCAAAATATATGACCCACTTAGTCTAAAAACCCATTTCGAAAAATTTGACCCGATCGTTTTTGGGTCTTTTGTTTCCATTAGCTCTAGTTCTCTTCTTTCTTCTCCTTCAATTCATATGTTTTCCATTCTCTAGGTAATTGCAGGAAGAAAAAGATGGAGAAACTACATCAAGATTTGTCAAGTTGATGTTTTTGCACATGGTTGCACTACAAACTTGACTATGACGTGAATTTCTGCAGGTTTTCTTAGTTCTGTTGTAAGCAAGTTCTTGAATTCAATTTGCTTGGCAAGAAACTATCTTGAAACTTAGGATTTTAAATCATCCTGGACAACTAATTCTTAGGCATAAAATTCATACATTTGTAATTTTGAAGCTAATTATTCATGGTTTAATGAAAGCTGTTGGAATGACATCCCAGTTAGTGGAAATAGAACCAGGAACTACAATGCACTTTTGGGTTCCAACTGAATCCATTCATCCAAACAACAAATTATCAAATAAACCTCCAGTTTTATTTGTTCATGGATTTTTTGCCAATGGAATTATGACATGGCTTTTTCAAATACTCTCCTTAAGTTCAAATTTCGCTGTCTACGTCCCTGATTTACTTTTCTTCGGATATTCCGTCACTACTCGTCCTGAACGATCAACAAGTATTCAGGTATATATCATCTTATCTAAAAATTTAAACGGTTTGTTAATATGTACAATATTTTTAACTATGGATTAATTAATTAATTAATAAATAGGCGGAATGTTTAGCAAAGGGAATGATGAAGTTGGGTGTGGAAAAGTTTTCTGTTGTTGGGCTAAGTTATGGAGGAATGGTTGGGTTCAAGTTGGCTCAAATGTATCCTCACATGGTTGAATAATGTTCATCTTTACATTGTGGGCTTTTATAATAGCTTAAACTTTGACAGAGGAGGAAATGCTTCATGGTAAAATCTTGATTTCATCTAATGTTGACAGATTCATTCTTGGATCATACTATTACCAAAGGAGCCTCAAAGTCTTGATCAACATTATATGGCTTACGTGATGTATTATCAGTTGACTGATGCACCTTCTATCACCGAGCAGCCATAAAAGGAGAATTACAAGGAGAACAAAGAACAAAGTGTTGGTTGCCTAATTGTTTAAGTTCTCCGCAACTTTCAACCACATAACATAATAATACTAAAATAAACTTTTGACAAGTAAACCAAATCAACAATACACACAACTAAACCAAATCTACAACTGTCACAATTAAACAATATTGATATTAGAAAGGTAGCTCTTTGGAGTTGTTACGATTGTTGTCTAACAACTATTAAGAGTACAAAAATCCGCAAAAGAATCAGTTGTTTAGAGTCATTACGATAATTGTGTAACAATCATTAATAGTACAAAAATCAGCAAAAACACTAATTGTTTGGAGTCATTGTTTCATTTTCTCTTTACATAACACTCAAGACAGTAAATACAAAACAAATCCTACATCCCCTTGTCCCCTATAGGCTTAAGTTTGCCAATGTTTCTCTCCCTTGTAGCTTGTAATTGGTTCGAAGTCATTACTTCTTTCCCTTTCCAAGTTACTTTTTTTGGTGAATATGGAAGGTTGGTCGGTATTGATATACCATCGTGATCTCCTTGGAAAGTTATCTTTCTTATCCCAGTATTTATCTTCTTCAGTCTTTCATGAAGTCTAAAATTACTTTCAGACACCACTTTAGGATATAAAGTAGGGTCTGAATCATGCCCTGCTACTATAGAGGTCTGGCTAGAGATCTGACTTGAACCAGGAACATGAATGAAGAAACATACACTTTCTTGAGTGTTTTCTGATTCTGTCAAGGGCACATTATGAGATTCTTGAGAGTTTTCTTCATCTTGGAAGACGTCCTCGTGTTTATCATTGAGCTGCATAAAGAAAAAAAAATCAAATGATGATCGTTAGATATAAAAGGGGAACACATTTATGAAGTTACGATTGTTACCAATGGACATTTTCTTCTGTTATGATTTGGTTTACCACAATAACCACAAGTCATTAACATTCCTTTTCTAGAAGCTGACCAAACCCCCTGCCTATTTTTAGCCTCATCCTTCTCTCTTGTTCTCTTCATCTTTGGTCTACCAACCATCTTAGCTAAAGTAGGGGGCTCCATGGCATGGTGCGGCTCTATCTTCCAAAAAATTTCACCTCTAACAGGTTCGATCTCGTGCTTATATACCATCAAATATGCTTTCTTAGAATACCACCAGTGTATTTCAGCAATAAGGTCAATTTTTTTTATGGCTAAATGCTTTGATGGCATGAGGACATGGTATTCCAGATAAGTCCCATACTTTGCATGAGCATCTTTTAAGTTCTATATTGATTGTATGTCTATCCACACCCTCGGTCACTTCATATCCACAGCCCCCATTAAACTCAACCTTACATCGTTGGGCAATGATCCTGTAGTCATTAAAGAGATGCGTTGCATGTGGTGAAAACTCATTCTTCCAACTTTTAACTTCGGCCTCATGCTTCCTTAACATGATCATTACCTATACAATAATAATCGAAAACAAAAAATATGAACCATCTAATGTTGCACGAACTGAAAAAACAGAAATTTAAAACACCTTAAAACAAATATCTAAAATTCTGATTATTACTCTAAACTAGCAGTTTGATTTAAAGTAGATTAAAAGCGCGATCAAATGGATTAATTTTTCATCATAAACGCTACTGGAATCAAAATGATAACACTTGTTATAACTCAAGTTAAAAACTTTTTCAGTAGCTTAAAACACTTTTTCCTCTTCAAGTTAGAACTTATTCCAATAGCTTAATACATAAATCTAAAAGAATTAACACTTGTTCATATCAGCTATTATGGAATTTAAACGGTTAAATTTTCTAACCTTCACCCTTATTTCTTCAAGCATCTTTATGATTGGTTTTTGTCTGGCCTCTACAATCCATGAGTTGAAGGACTCCATGAAGTTGTTGTCAACAATGAAATTTTTGCATTTGGTGTCAAAATATGCTCTACACCATTTTTCTGGTGGATAGCTCACCAAGGACTTAACAGCCTTCTTATTCAACTCACCCATTTTTGTCAACTGATCTTTGAACTCCTCCTCATATGTACTCCAAGCACACCACCAAAGAAGCTTTTTCAACTCCCCACTTCTGTAATTTTTGCTCCAATTAGCTTCAATATGCCTAACACACCATCGATGATTTGCTTGTGGGCATACATTAGTAACAACATTCAATAAACCCTTCAAAAACATAAATTCAGATTAGTTGCAGAATAATGTACATGAAAACTAGCTAAGAAAAGATGAAATGAACTTAAAATAAAGATACCTTTTGCATATATGATATAAAAGTGACATTTTCACCCGACTTTAAATCCAAAGAATGTTTCAGCAGCTTTAGAAATCAGTTCCAAGTTCTTTTAGTTTCTTTATCTACTACGGCCCAAGCAAGTGGATAGAAATAGTTACTCGAATCTTGTCCCATTGCGACCAACATTATTCCCTTACTTTTTCCTTTTAAAAAGGTGCCATCTAGCCCTATAAAAGGTCGTAAACCTCCTTTCCAGCCTTCCTTTAATGCCTGAAAGCATATATACAGCCTTAAAAATCTTCTTTTGCCTTCTTCCATATCATCTCTTGACAAATTGATCACAACATCAGTTCCTGGATTACTTATCCTCAATTCTTGTGCGTATGCCTCCAACTTGTTATAATCATCCGCGTAACTACCATCTAATTTGTCTAAGACAAGCCTCTTAACTCTCTTCAATTTTGACTCATTCACTTCAAGATCCAAAACAGAATCCAAGTGCTCATTCATGTCTTTAATCTTTAATGCAGGATTATTCTGAACTTTCTTCTTAAAATATTGAGATAAAATCCCAGCTTTAGCTCTCATGTTCTCAGAAGTCTCATAACATGTGTGTTCTTGATTTTAGGTTTTGATCTTAAAACCTTGATCTTTCCCATCCTTGTAAATCGAGCATCGAAAGGGACAATCAAGAACACAACAATAAGTAACTCTACCTTTGTCGCTTTTCTTTACTCTAATATCCCTCTTATTTGCAACAGCATAGAAGTCTATAACTTGTTTAGCTTCCTTGAGATTGCTAAAGGTCATACCATACTCCAAATCCTTGTACTTGTCTAATTTTTCATTGATATCAAGTTCTTTTTGCTTTTTATAACTCTCCAACTCTTCACTATCGTAGTCGCTAGACACAGTTTCACCATTTTCCTCTTCCTCACTACTATCACAATCTGTTCCAACTTCTATAACATTGTCACATTTATGGTAATGAATGATGTTTGGAACTAACCCAAGCTCCTCTTCATAGTTATCTACTGCAAAAAAGTTCACTACTTTGAAATTGTCAGATAATAAATTCTGAAGAGTTCTAATGCCTTCATCCCCCTCGATCACATAGAAACCACCAGATGGGGCTATAAATAGAAGCTGTCGTACTTCACTAAAAGCTAATTTTTCTTTAAATTCTCGACAGACATCAATGTAAGACAACAAGTCAACTTCGTAACCTCTCCATACGTGAATCAATTTTTTATGGTATACCAGTTGTGGTTTTCGAAACCATTGTCCCCTATAATTAAAAATCAGATCAACATGTTCAACCATTCTTGAATCGAGTCAATATGCAACACAACAAAAAAAGGAGAGAGCCCACATCAGACAATATTCAGTGTAATAAAATATAAAATATAATATGTATAAATAAAGCATATAATTGAGAAAAGACATGGACCCCCACTAGCAGTTAAAAACTCTAAATTAATGAAAACAGAGACAAATAAAAGAAAAGGGGCATGGACCACTGCAACTAACACAACGTAAACAAAGCATGAAAAGATTCAAAATACATGATTTTTAACATATACTCTGTAATGTAAAAGAGGAAAACATTACCTTAGTCGCAGAGTAATGAAATCAACTGAGCGAAAAATTGAAGAAACAAAAAAGTATCATCTGAAGAACATAACTAGAAGGTGTTGTGATTTGCAACCCTAAACCTTCATCCTCGGCGGCTGCTGCAAAAAAAATGGCTGAGAATCGTGCTAAAATGGAGTTCAAGGATATGTTAGGTTAATGTGTAAATGGGTTTGTGGGTGGGTTTTTGTCTTTTTTAGTATAGATGGGTCGGGTCGTTGGGATGGATTTAAAAAAAATAGGTGGACCAATAAGATGAAGCCATTTGTCTAATTTAATGACTCAACATTTGCCATGTCAGCCGGCTGTTAAAAAAGGGCAATTTTAAACCTTAAAAAAATGTTGAGGGCATTTTTAAATCAAAAGGTGGAAGGAGGGCATTTTTGAACCATTTGGAATACGTTAAGGGCATTTTTAACCCTTTTCCCAATTCGATATCATGGTTAAATGTTAATTTTTTTTTATAAACTCCGACTATATTTTAAATAGTGAGTCCTAAAAGGGCAATTTGTGCACTACCTCTTCTGCTGGCTGCTTGCATCATTTTTACATGGTGAAATTCCTCGTCGCCACTCAACAAATGCAGAGGTTTTAACAATGGACACATCTCGCTTGTATAAATCCTCCAATGAACCCACTCACGACCTTTATACAATCCCTAGTTACACCAGTAAGTTAAACCCACAATTCCCTTCTCTCTCTATTTGTCTGAAAATAGCTCTAATTTCTGCATTTTTCTTTGTGTGAATTGAAAAAAGGTTGGTTTTCTTGGCAAAGCATACATGAGGTGGAAAGGCTTTCATTGCGAGAATTCTTTGATGGCAGTTCGATTTCAAGGACACCCAGAATCTACAAAGAGTACAGGGACTACATGATTACCTCATACCGTGAGGATCCGACTCGAAGGCTTTC